AATAAAGTAATTTTTAATTTTTTATCTAAAAACTAGGATTTGTTCTGCCAAAATATTTGTTACCCTACAAAATGATTTTTGAAGAGAGTCATTTAGTAATAAAGAAGAATGATAATTAAATCATAAATTTGAAAAATTTATTAATTTGTAAGGCAATATTATATCATCGAAATGAAAATGAAAAATATGGTTTTAGTCTAGAGATTTGGGTATATAAATCTAAATAAAATTTGAGAAGTTTAATAAAAATTAAAAAATTTAAAGCTTTTTTAAATAGCTAAAGAAAGGCATGGAGGGCACAGATAGTTATAATTATGATGAAATGGAATTAGATGAATTAATGCTAACTCCTCCTGCATTAATCAGATAAAATGCCTTCATAGAAGATGAAGATGATACTCCATAATTCATACTTTAAACTTAAACTGAATTCACCTATAAGGAGGAGGAATGTCCCATATGTTTTTGTCCTCTTAATGAGGAAAATACTGTAAAATTATTGTGTGGACATGTTTTATGTTAAGATGATTTAAATAAAATAATATAAACTTAACATTCAGAGACCCTAAAATGCCATATTTGTAGAACTCTTTAGATTGTAAATTTATCTTGTGTTTGTGTTAAATGATATATTTGGTACTCTTTTAAAAATATATTTTCAAAAAACAATAAAAATTAGAAAAATTCATCCAAAAGATATTTTGGATCCCTTTTTCATATTTCCTATATTCCATTAATATCTAAAATAATAAATGAAATCATCTAATGCTTAATTGTTTTTTTATTTCAATAAAGTAATCGTTTAAAAATATCAATTTTTTATCTTCTTCATTACTATTATATAGTCGTTATAATATATATTAATAAATATCAGGTTAAAATAAAATTATTTCTGAACTATTTTAAAATGAGGTCGTTGTGAAGAAATTCATTCTTAAATTATAGTGAAATAAAAAATACATAAATAATGTTCTTTCTTTAGTGATTTATTAATTTATCGTAGTAGTAAGATCCCTTATTTTAATTCTTATATAGTACTCATTTAATAAGTAATTTTGTTTGTTACGAATATTATTATTGAATTCTAATGTATGTAAATAGGATTTGATAATTTTAAAAAATATATAGTATTTTAATATTGAAAGTTAAAAAATGCTTATTAACATATTATAAGGAGTTGAGTTTAAGATTTATTGAAATGGATTTGGTTAAGGAATTCTTTTGTTTATCTTTATTTTTTGTTTATTTTTTCATTTAAATTTTTATAGAGAGAGTAGTGTAGAAAGTATTTATGATCAAGTGAGATAGAACAAAGTTAAAAAATAGATAAAGTTTAAAAATTACTTAGTCAATTAGATTGATTTTTGAATAGTAGGTATGATTTAAATATATAAATATTGAATATTTGATTGTTTGCGATTATAAATACAAAAATATTTTGTACGATAATTTTGAAAAGAGAATTAATTGGTATGGTAATATAGAAGTATTAGTTGAGTTTGTATTGTCTAATAAACATAGAAATGGTTTAGTTAATAATGATAAACAATTAAATATATTTAAGTATATATTTAAATCTTTTTATTTTTATTTATGCAAGCAACAAGTGAGCAAGTATGTGAAAAAATTTAAGTCATAGCCACAATATACATCATTAGAAAACTATGACAATATAGAATAAATCAGAAGTAAGTTTCCTGCTTTAGCTAATATCAACATTGATCATAAATTTGATAATATAAAGGATAGTAGATTCTTTATAATAAGAACTTAAGGAGAAGATAATGTTCATAGAGCTATGAAATATGGAATTTGGACAAGGTAAAGTTTTAATTAAGGAAAGCTCTTCTCGTAAAAATGAAAGATTAGATGAGGCATTCAAGAATAAAAAGGAAGATGTTTATTTATTTTTTACTGAAATAAATAGTATGTGTTTTAGTGGAATGGCTAAATTAACTTCTTAGTTTAATGCAAAATCTCATTTTAAATATTGGTTAATTGAGAATAAATGGTTTGGGACATTTTAAATTCAATGGGTAAATTGTTAATATTATTTTGTCTTAGCTTTACGTTAAAGACTTACCATTTAAACTATTTGATGAGATTAAATAAATCTAAAAACTAGAGGGAAGTGAAGAAACCTTAAAGTCAGTCTATGATCTTATTGATTGTACTGAACTTACAACAGAGAATGGCATAAAAATGGCTTAAATATTTTAATTAGAAAAAACTAATAAGAGTTTGTTTGAAGAATTTCCTTAATTAGATAAATTAGAAGTATATTCATTAATTTATAAAAACTTAAGTATGAAAGTAGACAAGAAAGAACTAATAATATTAGATTTGAGAAAAAATTCTAGGAATTATCAGCAGTATTTGAAACTATTCCATTTTCTTTTTCAGTTGCTTCATATGAAAGAAAAAAAACAAATAGAAAAGCATAAGGTTCTTATTATTAATCTTAATATAACTAATAATATTATTATTAATAGCCTTATCAATAGTATTATTAATAGCCATTTGTAGGTATTTTATATTGTATAAAAATAGGTTATTAATTTTAATAAACACCACAATATTGGTAATTTAATAATGGATTTTATTAAAATTAATATCAATAGAACTAATATAATAATAAATAAAGTTTTAATAAACAATAACAACCATATGACAAAAATTAATATTAATAAAATAATTATTAGAATTAATAATAGTAATAAAATGTGAATACATAATAACCATAATAAAATTTAACTTAAGAAGAAAATTAAGATTTGTAGAGTGTACCTCTAGAACAAAGATTTTAAGTAAATAGTCAGTAATTGCAAAAGAGAGGAAAGTTTGATAAAAACAGAAACAAGAATAACAAAGACAATGTATAATATGTAGAAAAACATTAAACAGAAGCTCCTGTATAAAAATATTGATCGTTTTTATTTATTTAAATTTATAAAACGATCTGAGATATGAGTATGTCTAAAGTCTTTTTTATGTTAAAGAATTAATTAAGGAAATAATAAAAGAAATAAATAAAATGTGATGTGAGTTTTGTAAAAATGAAAATGATATTAAAAAGAGAGAAGAAGTTATAATCAAGAAGAGTATATATCAAATTAGATTATGTAATATTAAATAAATTAAAATAATATTGTGAAAGCATAAAAAAAATAATTGCTAAAGAACAGTTACACAAATATTAATTATAGTAATTTTCTTAACCCCCTTATAATTAGAGTATTATGAATAGAAGTGTTGATCTTTTGTTCAAAAATAATTTATATTAAATTAATTATAATGAGAGAAATCATTTCTTTACATATAGGTCAAGCAGGGCTATAAATTGGTAATTCCCTTTGGGAGTTGTTCTGTTTAGAACATAATATTCAATAAGATGGAACTGTTCCAACTGATAGAATATTGGAAGGACTAAATTCTAATATTGATTCTTTATTTTCATTGTCTTCATATGGAAGATATGTTCCAAGAGCAGTTTTCTTTGATGAAGATGCAACAGCAATAAATACAATAAAAAATGGATAAATGAGAGGATTATTTAACCGTTCTTATGTACATCAATGTAAACTAGAATCAGGAGGATGTTGGGCAAGAAGTTTTGGATCGATTGTGCAATAAGAAGGTGAAGAAATATTAGCTGATAAAATAAGAAAGTAAATTGAAAATTGTGATGGTCTTTAAGGAATCATGCTTTATCATTCTATTGGAGGAGGATTTGGTGGAGGTTTTACATCTAAAATATTGGATTTACTCTCAACGGATTTAGAAAAAATCACTAAAGCAACTGTTTCTATTATGCCTTCAGAACATTCATTAACATCTTCTATTATAGAACCATATAATTCATTATTAACTCTTAAATATCTTAAAGAAAAGGCTGATTTATCTATTATGTTAGAAAATTCAGCTTTATATAGAGTAGCTAATTAATAATTAGATATTGAAAATCCAAATTATTCTACTATTAATAGAATGATTGCATAATTGATATCATCAGTTACTTAATCTTCTAGATTTAATGGAACAAGATTTGTAGATTTAATTGAAATGAGAATGAATGTTATACCAGATCCTGATTTTTAATTTTTACATGCATCTTATGCTCCTTTTGTTAATATTGATAAGCAAAATACAGATTTGATAAATTTATAATAGATCACTAATTCATTATTTGATGAAAAAGCATCATTTATTAATTGTGATCATAAAAATATTAAATATTTGGCAGCAAATCTATTTTTTAGAGGAGATTGTCCTTGGACTGAAGTAAAAGGCGTTGTTGAATCATTAAAAAAATCTCCAAATATTTAATTTGCAGAATTTGCTGTTCCTGTATATCAAATTGCAATTAGTGATAAAGCACCTACTCCATTTCCTAATTGTGAATAAGGTAGATCAAATAAAGCAGTTTGTATGATTGCTAATTCATCTGCAGTTGAAATTCCTATTGCACAAATTTAATAAAATGTACAAAATTTATATGCCAAACGAAGTCATGTTCATTGGTTTGTTGGAGAAGGAAGAGAAGAAGGAGAAATCTCAGAAGCTATTGAATTAGTTTCTACAATTATTAAGAATTATAAAGAAGCAGGATATGAAAATCCTGATAAAGATTATTGTACTAGAGTTTAACATGGAACTAATTATATAAGACAATTTGTATATACATGTGATTGTTTAGATGTTGAAGCATATAGAAAAAGAGGAACTGAAGAAGGAAAGAATATGGAAGGTAGATATTTAGGAGTTTGTGTTCAATGTGCTAAAAAGTGCCATGTTGGGCATAACCTTTAAGCTGATAGAATTCATGATGGATTCTTTTGTGATTGTGGTTTAGAGGATTGTAAAGTTAAATGTCTGTGTTAAAAAGAAGAAAAATAAGAAGATTAGGAAAAAGAAGAAGGTTCATCATAATGAATATAATTATTAAAATAATGAATTATATGAAACAAAGATTATTGATTATATTTAATTCTAAAAATTTCATTCTATTTATTACAATCATATCGATATTCATGTCCATCGAGACAGATAAATTAAAAAGATTATATTTTAATTGCATATATAATGTTTATTTTGGTTTTCTTACAAATTAAAATGTTAAAAAAAATATCTTATCATATTCCAATATTTTTATAATCTTAATATCAACACAATTAATTTAGTCTTTTTTAAATATATTATTTATCATGATATCCTTTCTTTAAAGCTTCATTAAAGCATTATTTAGATAATTCCTTTTAACCTTGTTCAAATAATGCATCAGCTAAAAATTAAATACTAAAATTTACCTTTTATCACTAGATAATCAAGATTTTTTGAAATCGAATACGCTTTATCAAGACTTTTAAAAGCTTCTTTATATTATTTAAGCTCAAGTAATGCAATTCCTAATTTGAAATTAATTTTTTACCTTTTATAGAAAGAGCTTGGTGAAGCTAGGGATTAATTTTAAGTACTTCATTACAACATATAATTGCTTCTTTAAATTATCCCAAACGATTTAGGGCACGAGCTATAATTAAGAAATTAATATACATTTATTGATATAAGGTGTTTCATTATATTTATTTATTTCTATTGCTTTTTCATAACACATAAGTTCTTCTTGAGTTCTTCCTAAATTTCCTAATGCAAGCCCTATTAATATATTAATATCAAAAAAACCTTTAGTTGTATATACCATTTCATTTTTTGGATTCATTTTAATAGCTTTATCACAGCAGATAAGAGCTTCTTCAATTTTACCTTAACTATATAATGAGGATGCTATTTTTTCAAATATCTTTACCCTTTGTAGAATAAGCACAGTCATTTTAAGGGTTAATCTAAATTGCAATATCACATGTTTATGCTGCTTCTATAAATTACCCCAATTTATTTAATGTTCGAGCTAATAAACATATCATAATTTCTACCCTTCCATATATAAACCTAATCTTAGTGAGGATTATTTTTTAAAGATTCATTAAAGAAAAATAGTGCTTCTTAAAAGCTTTATTAATCCCATAATTTCCAGCCTAAAAAAATTAAAAATGATTTTCACCTTATTTTAAATCTTATTCAGCTTTTTCTTTATCAATTATAAGTTATTATTATGGTCTTTGTATAACTGATTCATTGAAAGTTGGTTTCTAAATCCCTTTAAAAGTTTTTTCTATTTTTTATGAAAATGCTAAAACATGTTCTAGTAATATTATAAAACAATTACAATTATTGTTTTGAATTAAGCTTAAGCCAGATCCTAAAAATTATTTGATCTCATAATATTATTTTTGATTGAATATCTCTATTAATTGTTGTAATTTTGAGATTTCTCCTGCTAAAACTTTGTTATGAAATTCATATTCCTATTTAATTTAATTGTAAATTTAATTTAATTCATCTAATGCTTTTTAATTATTCTTTAAGTTGCATCTTAAGAGGTCTTAAAATTATCTAAAATCATTGCAATCTTAAACATGATTTTTGTGTCGATCTTGTAAACATTTTAGACAGAACTGAGGATTTTATGAGCAAGCATAATTTGTACAAAACCCAATAATTTCGTTATTTTCATGATCAAAAAATGTGCAAGTGTAATAAGAATTCATATTTGAATATATTTATTTTAAAAAATTAATATTACTAAAAATTTTAATATTAGATGAAATTCTTTTCAAGATGCTAATCAATAATCTAAAAATATCAATTATTTATTAAATATTTCAATTCTCAACGAAACATTAAAAGAATTGGATAAAATCGATGATTTAATAACTAAATGAGTTTATAATAACATTTAAAAAGTTTTTAATATTCTGTTGAAAAGATCTATTTTAACAAAATTCTTGATGATGAATTATAAAATAAAGAATAAATTATTCAAATTTTTAGGTTATAAGATTATATTGAAATTCAATAGAAAAAGCTACTTCTGTGCCTACTTTGTGACTACATGTAGCAGTCCGAAGCCAACTAGACAAGATATATACAATATTTGCCCTAAATAATGTTAAATATGTTCAATGAATGAATAGGATGATAGGGTAAAGAATTGTTTGAAACTTACTAGTAAATGATGCAAATGCATTATTTTAAATGAATATCCATTGTAAAAATATAAATAATTCTGATTTCACACCCTTGATTTAATAAATCTTTCTGCTTCTTTATGGTTTAATAGTTTAGAAAACTGCATTTCAAATCTGTTTTTGCCGATTTTCACCGCCTTCTCACAAATGAGTCTGTCTCCCTAACCCATTATCTTGAGTTCAAATAACTTTTCTCCATTCTTTTGTTGTATAATTTTGATTCCTGATGAATTATATTAAGAAGAAGCGACACCCTTCTCAGCTGCTTGACGAAACTTCTTTTTCTGTATTTTGTTCTAAAATTAGATCTCCTCTGAGAAGATGATAACATAATTTAGTTAAAGTATTGCATATCCGTAATGTAACCTGAATTCTTTTACTTTTTTTCTTCTGCTTTCTATCTGAACTAGTCTATTGTTTATTTTCGATTTCTATTTTTTCTCTTGGTCATTGCTTCTTCAAATTCGAGCTTTTATGGTATATCAGCTCTCTCAGGGAGGATTAAATGAATCAGCTACTAATCAATATTCTCTTCTAATAATTGCTGATTTTATGCAAGTTCATCTGCAGACAATTATTTCTACTCGTCCTATTAGAATACAGGAGGTTGTATTGCCTCAATTTAGTATTTTTTCTAAATCTCATTGTGGCATTTAAGTTTGAGATTAAAGTCCTTCTACTGCAATGCTAAAAGCACCTCAAACTCTTCAGATTTACTCATTAATTCACAAAGCTTTTGTTTCTCCTCGAAACTATACTCATCACTCATTATCACTTCATTGAGCTCTCCTATGATGAACTCAAAATTTAGGTCATCTAATTTAGATAGATTCTCAGCGCTAGTAAACAAGCCTTCCATATTCTTCGATTTTTTTGCAGCACACATTTAAATATGGTAGATTCTTGATAGTTCAACAATGTCATTTAAGTATGTTTGAGAATTAGGTGAAAACTTTTAGGCTTACTTTTCAAACTGGTCTATGACAACTTGAGAGAATTAAGCAGACTTATCGTACTAATTCATTTCGTAATAAAATTTGCTGAGAGCTTGAGAGAATACAAGACTCTTTTAGTCCAACGAAACTGCTTTTTATAAATAAAATTCTGCCTCCTTCAGGTTTTTTTGTTGGTATTACAAGCTCACCCCAATATGGTAATGTGCGAAAGAATAAAGTTTGCTATAGACAAAATTCTTCTTTTCATGAAGCTTCAAATAATCTCGCATCATTGATTCAGCTAAAGCATACTATCCTTATTAGAAAGCAATCTCTCCACAGTTGAAATAGATGACAGCATACTTTTGAGTCTACTTCAGAATTGATTAAAAGGAGTTGATAGCTACCTATGGTTTATTCAAGGACATTTGACAAGCTCTGATAAAGAGAGGATAGATTTGAACGTTCTCAGCCATCATATCTTGAAACTCTTTCATTTGATTCTCATCAATCATATCTTATGGGCTCTCATTTTGAAAATCTGGCATTTATATATGGTGTCCATTCCAATAAGGCTGTTAAGGCTATTTAGGTTCTTAGCTTTAAGTCTAGCTTGGCTGGTAGTTGGATACCAATATTTTAAGGGAATCGAGTTTGGCTCCTTTCAAGGATGGATTAGATTCTGCATGCTGAAGAAGAGACTTTGCTATTCCCTAATCTAGGGGCAAGAGATGATTAGTTAATTTCAGTAAACCTTTAAAGAACTGGTCTTAATCTGTAGGCTTCACAGATATAGTTTTTGGATCATCTATTCGAATCAATGGATACCCATCTTAAGCATTTTTGTAGTATGGGTTAATAATTTAAACCTAGGCACCTATGTGGAATACTTGATGAGAATTCCTCTTAGATGCTTTGTGATTGTAGACAGCAACCTTTTCAATTTTACCATTTTCATCCATAGCTATAAACATGATACTCATGAAATCTGTGGAAGGAAGGATGATATGAAGATCCAAATAGAGGTTTTTGTGGATCTAGTCGATTCTCAAATCCTGAAGGTAGGCCTTCTTTGAGTTTTTACTAATAAGAATGTTGGCATTGTTTGATCCAGATTGTGAAGAGTTTATTAAAGGAATGTACATTTCGCGGTTTTGTGTCATTCGTTCTTGCTCTTTTAGTGATCCTGCAAATTAATAAAGAAGTTCAAGAGTTTCATCTTCACTATGTTTAGTTTGCTATGATCCCATATTAGATAATATTAATATTAACATCGATAGAGCAGATAGTTTTTTAATAATGGTAAGTACAATAATTCAGATTTAAAATAGTATAAAATAAATAATTTCAGATAACACTATGCTAATCAACATTCAATCAAATTTGAATTTCTTTATAAAACTTATGTATGGTAGCATTGGAATAGTTGGTCTGATAATGTTGATGGTAGATTAGACGTGAAAAGAGTTCTGGAAAATTTTACAGATTATCCTATCTGTTGTTAATCATATACATTTGCTTGCAGAGGCAACTAAATAGCTTAGGGGATTAGTTGATGAAGCTGTACTAGAAGTAGTAAGCTATCAGAACTGAGTTGAAATTCACAAAGAAGTACATCGATTCCATTAAAGACATTAATGATGTTATTGTGAAAGGAGTAATTGGTGTTTTTGATTTGGAAGCTATTCATCAAAACGGGGATCTATCTTAGATGTTGAGTTTCGCATTGAAAGAATCTGGGCTTCTTTTTTGGAATAGTCAAGAGATCTAGCGGTAGATCAATCTTGCTTCTGCATTCATTAACCTTCCACGATTGATCACTTGGTTCTACGAAGATAAGGTGAGATTTTAATGTATGACTTATTAAAATTATTCATTTTTAACCATATCCCTTTATTAAGCTTGGACATTTATATTGCTCTCAAAATATCAAATTAGAAAATCATTTTTAATCTCTATAATTCTACTATTTTATAGTTTTACATTGATATATCCACAACTTAAAATGATTTAACTAAACCTTACTATAATTTAAAAATCAATATATTGAAAGATTGGAGTATGTTCATAGTTGTAAATTTTTGTATCACAAAAGAATATTGAAGCAATTAATTGATATCAAAATACTCCATATGGAATTTTCAATCATGAAGTGGAAAAATTTAAGACTAATTGAAATATCTTTTTAAATATATTTGAATTAATATTATATTTTAGATGCACTATAAATTTATAATATGATAATCTCTTATAATTTATCATTCAAAACATTACTTCCATAATATCTTATTTTTCTATTCCATAATAATAAGCTTATTGAACTGAAGGTTAATTTCTAAAAAAATTATTCATGAATATTACTAATTGAAGTCATCTGACAAATTATACCAAATTCCTTATTTTTTTCCATTTTCATATCTTCCTCCTCCTCTTAAATATCGAATATTTATACATATGTTAAAAATGAATTTAAGCACCGTGCTTGAACATTGTTTTCCATTCTCCCTTTTTTAAACCATTATCGTACTCTCCTTTATAATGTATTTAGTATTTTCTAATAAATTAAATAAATACAATGAATAATTCTCGTATAATTCAATCCATTATCCTTATTTTCTTCCAAACTAATCATAAAGTCCTCCACCACTTAATTATTTAGTTTAATTACATTTCTTCATTTATAATAATATTGTCACCAAACCAATTGGAAGTTCTAGATTTTCTGATAATCTTCCATTATCCTTATCTCTATCCATGACAATATTCACCAAACCAAGCTATTTACAAATATCTAATAATTATCATAATTAAACTATGAAAAATTTTTATCTATCTCGATCCATCTACCATTTTTTTATCCAATATAATTATAGATCCCTAAACCACTTTTTCTTAATTTTCAATACATAATTTAATCTTTAAATATTGTTTCCCAACATCCAACTTTAAGATTATTTAAATATTCTCCCTTCATATAGATCTCATTTTATGAACTAAATTTAGGATGAAAATAAATTACTCGAAAACTTCAATCCATTTCCCTTTTTTTTATTTTTCTTTTTTTATATATCTATTCGCATTATCTACTTTTTATTCTGACAAACATATTCCAAATTTGGAATTATCATTCATGGAATTATTAATAATTATAGATAATATAATTCATTTAGATGATCCAATTAAAGCAAATAATTCTTAGAAACTAAAAATAAACTTTTAAAAAATATAGCCCCTTGAAAGGCAATAATAGGTAATTTTTCATTTAATAACCAAATTTTAAGATAATAAAAATAATTTAAATATGATTATGCTGATCAAAATAAAATCAAAATCTTTTTATAACAACTCGAGTAAAATTTAGTAGATATATCGAATTAAAAATTAGAATTATTTTTGCAAATACTGTGTAATTTAAAGAAATATTATAAAACTTATTTAAAAATTAAAGCAAAGTAAATAAACTCAATAATCCCTTTTACATGAAATAACAATTTTAAGATTTATTAATCATAAATTGAGAAATTATTTAAGCCAAAAACTCCTTTTTGAGCTATTTATTATCAATTAAGATATTATTTGATTCAAAGAATTATGACCAAATAGTTATGGCAATATTTTGTGAATTTCTCATTTAATTAAAATCGAAAATGTTAGAAGAGAACGAAAAGAACTTGAAATTTTGAGAAACTTGGATGTCCATTTTGAGATGAGAATTTAAATCAGAATGAATTTTTTTAGTAAATATCAATTTGCAATTCCACTTTGAATAAAGACATTTATCCTAACCTTCTAATAACAACAAAAGATTAACTATTTATAATTAATTTATAAATATTTCTATTTCAAAAATTAAGAAATAGTTATAAGTAGATAGAATAAAGAATTATATTTATAATACTCTATATAGACTTCATTGTTGAATGAACAAAAGTTTAATATATTGATTAATAATGTGTGTCTAATTAATGGAACAATTGAAGTCTTTTAATAATCTAACTTTATGTAAAAATATTTTTTCCCATTTTTCTTAATATTTTATACAAAATAAATAAAAATCTTCTAGAATTTTTAATTGATATGAATTGTGGATAATGCATTAAAGAATTGAAAGGTTTTTAATTTGATGAGAAAGCTGAGGAATATCAAGGCGTGATTTGGGATGGCATTTTTAATTGTTTTTATAAGAAAAAATTCAAAATTGAAATTATGAATTAAAGTATCAATTACATTTCCAATGATGGATAAATTTTAAGAATGTAATAATTAAATTTCAAGGAATAGTGATTAAAGAACAGATTGTTATCAAAAACCAAAAATACTCACTAATTTAGATTAAATAAAGCATCTCTAAAAGTACAATATCTGTGAACAAAATATGAATAACACTAAAAGAATAAATTTAATGTGGAAGGGAGAAGCTTTAGAAAATAATGGAGGTGAATGTTGTACTTATATAAGGATTAAAATAAAAATATTTTAAAGAGCTTATTAATAATTTTTGGAGGTATAACTATGCCTTAATTGTTATAATAGTTTGGCTCAAGTCTACCAAGCTGGAAAATATGAAAATGAAAAAAGAATTGGAAGTTGGTAGTATTATTATTAAGATTAAGTAATGTATCATTATATCATAAATTTTATTTAGTGGTGGTGGATCATACAATTAATTAGGTATTAAAATTGGAAAATGGATTGAGTTGAGTGAAAATTTTTGGAAGTATTAGAAATTTTTGTTAATTTATTGAATGTTAGATATAGTTAAGTCACTTTAACAGGTTTATATAAAAATGGTTAAAAAATTGGTCGATGGGCTATTAAATGGATAGAAAATAATTTAAATGATGTAGAAATGTATTGATAAAATCTTAATCATAAATAAAGAGGTCATGGATATTATGATAAACAAAATGAAAAAACAGGAAAATGGTTTGAACCTAGCGATAAATTTAGTTTGTATTGATTTTTTTTATTTAAATAAGGTAAAGTTAAATCATTTTTAGTGGTGAATATAAAAATGGTAAAAAAATAGGAAAATGGTAAACTTATTGGAGAATAGAAAATAATGAAATTAAAGAGATGTATTAGAATAAAAAATGATTTTCTTAACTGATATTTTAGAGGAGGTGGGCAATATAAATATCCAAGCCTAAAGAATGGGAAATGGATAGAATTGAGTGATAATTTTAATAAGTATTCAACGAAAATCTCAATATAATTTTAGCGAGAATAGGTTTACCTATGTTGGCGAATATAAAGATGGAAAAAAAATTGGTCTATGGGATTTTTTTTATTGGAAAGTGTTAATGTAACAAAAATAAGTTATTATTACAATTTAAAGTGGCTGTGGTTTATATGATGAATAAAATTTGTAAAATGGTAAATGGATTGAATTAAGTGATAACTTTGCTTAGTATTGTTTTAAATTTTAATTGAATAGCGAAAGCGAAGTTATTTTTATAGGGAATTATTAAAAAGGAAAAAAAATATCTAAATGGGACATTTAATTTCGATATTATGATAATTTTTAATCGATGTAAATTAATCTTCTATAATTATTAGTGGTGGAGGATCATATAATGAGGATAATTTAAAAGATGGGGAATGGATTGAATTGAGTGATAATTTCCATAAGTATTGATATTAATATATTATTATTATTAGTTTTAGTTAGGTGTTGTGGCATGGAAAATATAATATAGGTCAAAAAGTTGATAGATGGAATTGTTTTTACGAAGGAGAATTGATGTATCTATATTTATAATAATAAAAAATTTAGAGGCAGTGGATTTTATGATGATTTGAATTTAAAAAATGGAAAATGGATTGAACCAAGCGATAACTTCTAATAGTACAAAATAATTATTCATTACTTTAATTATTAGTTATAGATAAATAAAATTCGAAGGATGGTATAAAAACGGGAAAAAAATTGGTAAATGGGATCTTTATTGGTAGGGAGAAGGAAAAAATTAAGATTTCGAATTAATGTAAGTTAGAATAATGATACATTTATTATAGAGGGGGAGGATATTATAATGAATAATCTATAAAGATTGGAATATGGATTGAGATTAGTGACGATTTTTAAAAGTAGTTATTTTGATTATTGCTTTTTAGACTAAAACAAGTAGTTTATAAGGGTGAATATTAGAATGGCAAAAAAGTTTAAATATGGAAAATCTAATGGAGAGATTAAACGTAGAACCAATTTATTGCTATGTTATATTGATAATCATATTATAGAGGAGGAGGATAATATAACAAGAAAGGCATGAAAATAGGAAAATGGATTGAACTAAGTGACTAGTTTTAAATGTAGAAAATTTAATTACTATAATTTATATTCAAAGTGGTAGCCGTATTTTTTTTCTTGGATAATATAAGAATTGTCTGAAAGTAGGGAATTGGGAAATTCATTATCAAGATTTTGAAGATAATTATTAGTTAATGTATAAAAATAATTTATTAATAGTGGTGGAGGGTTTTATGATGATGAAACAAATTTAAAAAATGGAATTTGGATTGAGCAAGATGACAATTTTTGGAAGTTTTAATTTTAATTTAATTTATTTTAGTGGAAATTATTAAATTTGGATTGGTAAGTATAAAAATGCTTAAAAAATTGGTGATTGGATCAAAATGAAAAGAAATGAATCAATAAAAAATCAAGACTTTTAAAGAGTGTAATATATATGTAATTCTAGTGGAGAATACTAGTTTAATATTTGAAATATGAATTATGTTATAACAAAAAGTATTATACAAAAAATTAGATTAAATTATATATATTCAGTATTTTATTAGAAATATAAACTTGACTTAAAATGGATTGCTTAAAATATTGTAAAAAGAATAATAAAGTAATACATATTTTTACAAAAATAATTGAAAATTATTTAAAAAAGAATCTTGACTTTATATACTTCCCTTGCTAATATAAATTGATATATTCATAAAGAAAGTTACAAGATACATAGTTTATTTATCCCATAAAATAAATAGTAGAGTTTTATAATTGTTGAACCTGTCTTAATCAATAATAATTAAATATAATTTATATATAATTGTCCTACTTAAGTATATTAATTAATTTTTTTTTTAATTGAAATTATTATTCATACTATTTTCTTTGGCTTTCTCACTTGTATCTCATATGAATTATGATCCCAAGTTATTAAAAATTGTCCATCTTCACTTAAAGTTCCAAATATCTAACCTGTATCAAAATGTATTGTTTATATAAGAGTGAATTCAAAATCTTAAGACCCTGAAGGAGAATTTATAAATCTTATTAAATTCAAATATTTTCCATTTTTTAAAAGAAGGAGCTATTTTTAATTGAGATAAATGGCTGGAAATAAGTTATAGCAAGATTATTGACTGCCTTCAACTTAAAATTTCCTATAACGATAAAATTAACCTTATTTAGAATTGAATATATAATAACTAAGTAGATAATATGATTTTTCTTAAAAGATAAAAGTATCATTAGTAATAAAATTAATTCTAAATCCAATTGATTCTGTCTATATTTTTTATTTCACTATCCATTTGTTTTTATTTGAACCTTCCATGATTATGATTTTAAGATCAGATCCACAAGAGATTAATTTTGTTCCTTCTTGATTTAATGATAATCCTTAAACTTTATTAAGATGCTCTGTTATAGTTTATGAGCATTTCCAACACATAGAAGATAATTATTTGGATTGATAAAATCTAATTGCATAGTCATTTGATCCAGTTATGATAAGATCTTCTTAAGGAGAGTTCAACAATAGACAATTAATTGATGTAATATTATCTTTTATTTTCATTAGAAATTTTTAATTTGATTAGAGAATTGAGGATCGAAAGATAATATCACCCATACATGAAGCTATGACAATAAATTATTATTATTTGAAGAAGTTTATGGTGTTAATTGAATATCCAAAAAGTTAAATTATTTGAATTAATTTTAATGCTTCATTACTTAAGTTGAATACTTTTATTTTACCTCTCTCTTCTACTATTACAATCTTATTATTTTGATTTATTGCAATAGCAGAACAAAATTGATTTTTTCTAGTCATCTTTGGAATTAATTCATAAGCAAAGGATTCTAAATTATATTACATATTTTGCATTGTTAATGGATCTTGTAAATTTATTTTATATATAAAATATATTAAAATAATAAGTAAATCAAATATTCTTAATCATAATATTTTTTTAAATTAAAAAATATTTCACTTTTATTTTAATCATAGTAAGACATTTCTAAAATTTTTACAATCTAATAATCTATCATTACATCTAAGAAATCTATTAACAATCACAACAATAGAACTTTTTAAATTACTTAAATAAATTCTATATATTTATAAGAATTCAAATTTAGACTAAATACTTATGGACGGTTTCAAATAAAAAGATAACGAAGCTAGAATATTTTTACTAGTTTATTGTACCCTTTGAGATGCTAAAAAATTGTATAATAGATAATAGGATGCCGTTTAAAATTTGAGAAATTAAATTATATCTATCTTTTAATCTTAAATTTTCTAGAGATTTCTAAAGCTAACAGATTCTTTATGTTTGAAAGGACATCTATGGCTTTTTTTATGTTTTTACTTTTTATAATGATCTTATTGATTTCATTATATATGTTATTAGTTCGATATTTATATATAATTGAATGAAATTATATTTTACAATTAATATATAAATAATCATATTTTTATTCTAGCTTTAGCAAATTTTATTATTAGTTTTTCATAAGGTAGGTGCACTATTTCGACCTTACTTTTCCACTTTACGAGCAATTAAGAAAAGCTATAGATTTTTTAAATTTCTTAGAATTGTTAAATTTAAGTATAGAATTTTGACTTTCGAAAGTCTTTTTCTAATTAGCTTTTTTATAAATTTATTAGGGTTTATAAGAAGATTAAGGTTAACTAAGTTGATAAATTCTTTATTTAAGTTTTGCTTACTACTTATAAAATATTTTGAATGATCTTTCCTAATCTTATAAATGAACTTTCCAATGTTGTTTATTTGTTGAGTAATTTTTTAACATTGTTTGTTTTGTACTGAAATATTGATGTAAATTAAAATATCTAATTTTTAGTTAGATTGGATAATGGGTAGATAGTAGAAACATAATATATTTAAATATCTTGAATACTTATTTAATAGTTTCAAACTAAATTAATTTGTGTCTTTTTTATTCACTTTTATTATTATTTTTATAATATTTCATTTTTAGAAAAATAAATTTTTTTATTTAATAGTTTATTTATCCCTAATGAATCAATCTTAAATAAATAATCAATTCAAAAATTATCTAAATTAAATTGTTCGAAATTATACCATAAAAAATTTTTAATGAAAGCAATTGAAAATAAATTTATTATATTATTATATATGTATGTGCCTTTTGTTGAACATCTTATATACTGTTAATTTATAAATTTAACAACACTAAATTTTCAGAATAGATTAAGGTACGAAAAACATTAATAACAATTTATCTCTTCTATTTGAATGAAAAATAAAAAAACAATAATTGATTTATTTAATTCTTTTATTTAATATCTAATATAATAAGTATATATCTTATTTTTTTTTCCATAATACTAAATATTACCCATTATTAGTTGTGACTTCATAAATCATGTCACTTTAAAAATTTAATGATGCAATTAACTTAAATGCGTCATTTTTTAATTGTTTAATAAAATAAATAAAATGTTTATGTCTTAACAATAAAATCTTTTTATCTTTATTTTGTATCATTTGGAAATAGATATCATCCTCACATTCATTATTCTATATTAATTTGATAGTTTTGTTTAAATCTATAAAAGACTCCATTCAATTATTCAAACACAAAAATATCATTAATAACTTTAGTACTCAGTTTATTCAATCATATATGCAAGTTTCCATTCTCCTTATAATTCTTTCTTCCATATCATAAATTCATGATACTTACTTGATATCAACACAGCTTATAATTGTAGTTAGTGAGCACAGAAAATTTAGTTCATTTTTAATAAAATCTACCTACCAAACTTGTATTGAATAATTTTGACCTCTTGAAATAAGATAATTTCCCTGTTTGTTTAAAATTAAACTATCACTATATTTTTGAGTTATTTTGAATATTTCCACTCACTTTGATTAATTTATTACCAACAAATGATTGTCATATCATAAGGATGTACTTCAATTTTATTTGATAATTATAATTTTATCTAATCATTATAATATGTTATCATGATTAATCCTGTTTAATCAAATCCTATTGCCCTACATTACCAAGAATATTTTTGAGAATCATCAATTAATTTCAATTCAATATATTCATCCATCAAATATTATTCTAATTATTTCTATTGATTGTTAATTTAAATTACTTGCTTTTATTTCTTGATATAATTAACTTAATTTCCTTCTATCTATTTTTACTTTTTAGTTGCTTTATTATTAAAAATTGAAATTATCTAAAACTTTAATTACTTCATCATATTTCAGATTTATTCAAAGGATTTAAATTTATTTATTAATTAAAGGTCTTTTTATACCATGATTAATTAATTTTATTGATTTTCTCAATTAATGAATTCTATATTAAATGTATTTAACATTTATCATTATCTTAGATTCTGTCTTCAATTATAAATTTAAATTTGAGAAAGACATATTGATCTACTATTTGACAATATTCAATTGTAAATATATCTCCATAAGTTTCCATTCATCATTTAATACTAATTTTTAAATTTCAAAGGAAAAATATAAGTTTATCATTAGTGATAATAATTTTAATGTTGAAAGTCGTTTGTCATTCAAATAATAAACTAAAAAAGAAATGAAAGTAGGTTGTATTATTCACAGATTTGTGTATGTGAAATAAATCCATTATGGCATTAAAGAAAGTAATAAATTTAATATTTTTATTCATGCAAAATTAAAAATTTTTAATTTAAATATAGAATTTAATCAATCATTTAAAGTAATTTTACAAAAACAAAAGTTATTTAATAGATGAAATTCTTCAAAATCATAATTTTCAACTTTTATTATGATCAAAGTGAATTCTTCAAAAAGAATTTTATTTTTTAGAATGTTATTTCTGATTATTTGAATTAACAAAGTGGTTGGAGTTTTTATATTTTCTTAAATCTTTTTGAATGAAATTAATTTGCTAATTTTTTCAATAAAAAAAGGCTATTATTTTAGTATTTGAATCATACCTCACCGTAATAATCCTAAATAAAATTATTAAAACATCTAAACATAACTTTATTAAATATTGAATATTAACAATTATTTTATTTTAATAACAAATTTAAAATATTTTTTTATAAAATTAATTATATAGATTTTTTCTAAATCAATTCTACAAGTTTAAAAAATGAGATAAATCACCAGTATTTAATATCTAAAAATATGAAAAATCAATTATTGATGAGTAATGTTATGGCAAATCAATGCAATATTCATTTGATTGACAATTAAAAATTATGATCCTACCATTGAAAAATATATGGTTTATTGTGGCGAAATTTTGTAATTAATTGGAATACATTGATTGATGTATTACAAACATTGTTAGAATGCATTGCCAAACAAAAAAATATCTCTAATGTCAAATTAATATAAATAATGAACAATAAATATCAATATAAAAGCAATATGAGTAAATTTATTTTAAAATTATATAATAAAACGTTGAACCAGGATGGTAGTTTAATTTTATAAAAAGATTAAATTAATTAATGATTATAAATTTGGCTTACTTCAAATTATTCCTATTTTTCTTTATAAAATAAAATATTGTTCATAATTTTCTGTTCATTAATAAGCATTCATATTTTAATATTATAAAAAAATATATTAAATTGAGTATTTATTTTTATTAAATGAAATATTTAATCTCATTTATTGTTTTGATATTTGTATTTAAATAATTAAATAAAATATTTCTCAATCAATTTAATGAAAACTTAAGAAAACGACAAAATAGAACAAGAAAAAAAAGAAAAAATTATTAAAAAAGTTTCAGGTTGGAGACCTTCTAAAATTACATCAGCTTCTCCTCTGATTTAAGTTGATTATGAAATAATTTTGACTGAAAACTCGGAGGCATTTTTTGTACAACAAGGAATCATTCTTAATATGTAAAAAGTTATTGAAAACCTTATAATTAGTAAAAAAATGGAAGATGCAGAAGACTATGAAAAATTTTTAAATTTAGAAATGATAGAAAAATTAGAGTGGAAGGGAAAGTATGATGAACAAGGATAAAGATTTGGGAAGTGGAAGGGTTATTGGGCAAATGAATAAACTAAGTTGGAGGGAATTTACAATAAGGGATAAAAATTAGGAATATGGATAGAGCCATGGTAAAACTATTGGAGGTATTTATAATTAAATTATTTAATAAGTGGCTGCATAGTGACTTTTGAAGGGTAATACGATGAGATTGGCCGAAAAGTTGAAAATTGGAAGTATAGGAATGAATAAAATGCTGAACTGTTAAAACAAAATTAAATATATCTAGTGGTGGTGGTTATTTTAATAATGATGGTTTAAAAATTGGAATTTGGAAAGAGTTACATATAAGTTATAATGAAAAGTTTAACTTTTTATTTTTCTTTAGTTTAAATCAATCAACAATAAGAGGTTTGTATAATAAAGGAATCAGATAAGGAGAATGGGTGATAGAATATAATAATAAATATATGTAAAAAAAATAAGTATATTACTAAAATTAGAGGAGGAGGATAATATGATTTTAATGGGTAGAAAATAGGAATGTGGACTGAATAGATAGATAGATTTTGGAAGTAGATTTTATTTTAATAAAATATAAAAGCCATAATTAATCTACATTAAGTGGAAGATATAATAATTCAGGAATGAAAAGTGGTTAATGGGAAATATATTGGTACTGGAATGGAATAAACAAAAAAATGTAAACATAAAATCTAATAATAATAGAGGTGGAGGTTATTATAACGATAAAGGTAATAAAATTGGGTAATGGATTGAATAAATTGATGGATTTTGGAAGTAATTTTTTTACTATTTAATCTATAAAAATTTAGCTATAATTAAACAACATTAATTGGAAATTATAGTGAATAAGGAAAGAAAACAGGAATTTGGGAAATATATTTTTTAGATTCTTTTAGTAATAAACCAAATAATAGAATGTAATTTAATAATTATGACTAAATTGTATTAATAGAGGTGGTGGCTAATATAATGAAGAAGGTATTAAAAATGGAAGATGGGAAGAGATAAGTGATGAATATTGGAGGTCAAATTTATTATTATTAAAAACTTTAGCTATAATTAATCTATTTATATTGGAGAATATAAATAAGGATAGAAAATTGGAGTATGGGAATTAATTTTTAAGGATTATATTACAGCTAATTTCCAAAAGATGTATTAAAATAAATAATTATCTAGAGGTGATGGTGAATATGATTAGTAAGGAATCAAAATAGGATTGTGGGTAGAATAAGTTGATGGATTTAATTAGTTTTAAATATTATTTATTCATAGCTGGAATTAATCGATAATAAGAGGAACTTATAATAATTAAGGAATAAAAGAAGGAAAATGGGAGATAAATTGGAATTGGAATGGGGAAACTTATAAGATGTATTAATAATTCTTAATATTAAACAAATTTATTAAAGTGGTGGTGGATAGTATGATGATTTTGGACATAAAACTGGTGTATGGATAGAGTAGAAAGATGATTTTGAATGGTATATCATATAAAGAATTTTTATAATTAGTTCAAAAAAATATATTTTAGAAGGGGAGTATCATTAAGGAATCAAATTAGGATAATGGGAAGAAAGTGAAATTTTATGATGATAAATAAACATATTATCAAAAAAAATAAGAACGATTATTACAGATAAATTATAACAAAAATAAACAACATTATAGTTTTAATCTTCAGATTTAATTCATATTCTCATTTTTAAATCATTCAAATATTATCCTAAACCTAAGAATTCAATTTATATAAAATATTAACAGACTCTTTAGAAATTTTAAATATTTGTTGATACTTCTTAAAAAGAACAAGAAACCGACTAGAAAAATATCTTGAGGCATTATATCTATTAAAGAATTATAAAATAAAGTTTTAAAATTGTTAATTTAATTTTATTATAATTACTAAAATCATGCCAATAGGACTTCAGCTCATCAAAAATTGAAAAATATAATATTGTTTTTCTTTGAACCAAAATAAATAATTCGCTTTGAACTTTCTTTAATTACAAGATTTTTTTTTACTATAAGTCATATGATCTAAAGTAATAACATTAACGCTTTTAATCTACTTAATTTAATTTTTTTATAATCTCAAATGAAGTTTTTTAAAAATAGGATTTGAATATATTTTTATTTTAATATTTAATACAATTATTAATGAATTAGTTTTAAAATAAAATTTTGTTTTAAAATTGAATTAATATATTGAATAAGAAAAAACAATGGTCCAAATATTTGAAATTTTGACCGTCTACAAATATTTTATTTAATTAAAATAAATTAAATAAACTTCAAATAAATAATACGTATATCTACTAAAGATAAAAAAGAATCTCATTTCTTACAATATTTTATATTGCTTCCTAGTTATATTGCTCTTGAAATCATAATATATAAAATTCTCCTTCAAATCAATTATTTTACAGTTTTCTGTTGCAAAATATCTCTAATATTTCTGATATTATTATATGTTCATTATTTTTTATCATGATCATAAAAAATCTCATATATGACCTTATGTATTATTTCTCTTATCATCATAATTCTCCTTTTTCATTCGAACTCTCATTTATCAGAATTTATTAATTATTTTATTATTAATAAATTACAAAATAAATATTGATATATTTATCCATTGTTAAACAAGTACAAAAATTGATTATTATTAAAATCACATTAAAAGTATTTTTATGAAACAGTAAATTTAGAAAGGAATAAGAGTGAAGAAAAATATAATGCAAAGGTTATGTAGAGATTGAAAATAATTTTGATTTTATATATTCTCCAAAGGTTTAGTTTTTTAGAAGAAATTTTGGAGATACTCTTACATTTATTATTTAATTGCAAAGATTTTATTAGTGATGAGGCTTAATCTTATTAACTTCCTTCTAAATATATTTAACATGTTAAATTCATTTTTTTGAACCTTACATTATTGATATTTACGTATCATCACCACAAGAGATTAATTTATTTTCCACTTAATTTATTAATAATCCATAAAAAAAATAGATTTATACTCTATTTACTTCTTTATGATTATATAATTAGCGTGTTAGCCTTTTAGATTTCAAATTTTTTTACATGTTCCAATAGATTAGTTTTGAGTAACTTATTATGGAGAAAGGACAATCTTATAAATTTCGATATCAAATTGTTAAGCTGATAACATTATAGTTTTATTATAGTTGATGGAAATAGCATAGCATCACTTTTATTGTAGTAGGCAACTATGAAAAGAGCTCACATTCAAAAGATTATTTTGATAAAAAAGGTGTTATTATTTAATTATTTGAATTTATAAAAAAACTCATAATTTTAATGGCTTCATTTAAATAATAAACAATTTAAAATCTTTAATTATTGTTTAAACATTTTAGTCATATATTTATTAGTTTAATAAAAAATATATGTTTGAAACTTAAATTTTCATAAACAGTATTTTTTAATTTCAGGATTTTGATAAAAATTTTTTTCTATAGTTCTTTAAATCTAATTTTATAAGCTTTTCATAAATTTAATTATAATTATTCTTAATTATTGTATCTTTTAATTTTAATAAGAATCAAGCTACCTTTATCTTTATAACTTTTAAAGATTTTGAATAAATGAAACTATGCCTCAGAATTAAATTTATTAATCTTTGGAAGATATCTAATTTGATAAAGATAATTTTAAAAAAAGTATAAAATTCAGATTTCAATTAGCTCAGTGATTTATTCTTGGAGTTTTTAGAGATTACTTTTTGATTGTCAAAAAATCTTCTAATTTTTAATTATGTCATTTATTTACTCTGTATTTTAAAACTTGCATTGATACATGAATATAGATCACCATTTTTAGGATTTTTAATATTCTGTCTTTATTTTTGAAAGGATGAAAAACTTTATTTTTAATGATAATCGAATCAGTTTACTCACAAAAAATAATACCTTAACTTTGTTTAAAAATATAATAAGTTTAGATATATTTTTTAATAATACAGAAACAAATGATTGCATGATTATTTTAAAATTATGAATAAAAATGTATAATAACTCTATAACTATCTTATATTTTGTATATCAAATATGAATTATGTTTTTGTTATCAAGACTTATAAATCCATAATATTTCATTATAGTAATATATTAATAATTTATATTTTTATAGACAGTAATATATCCGATTTCAATGCTGAGACATTTGTATTTTTTAGATAATTGCTTTCTGTATAAGAAATAAGAATAGAAACTCCTAATGGAGAATTCAGAAAATAAGATAGTTTTCTCAAAAATAAATTTGTAATCTCAAATGATTGAAAAGGAGATGTAGTTAAATTGTAAATAAAAACACAATTAGAAAATTGAAAAAGTCAGTTTAGATCCAGAAATGTAGAAAAATGAGAAATTACTATGTTATTAATGTTTATTCGACATGAAATAGGATTAAAAAAAAATAAATTATCGTGCTACTATTTAAGTGATAGAAGAAAAATAGCAATAAAAGAATATATAATTAGAAAAAATATTAAATGATAATTTAAAATAAATAGAACAACTCTAAAGAGATATTAATATCTTCAAAAATAAATTAGTATAATAGTGTAATAAAATAATTTAAAGTATCAATGAATGGATTCTTAATATTTAATAATTAGGTCGTTATAATGCACAGTATAGTATTTATGACGAGATAGATAATATTATTAAAAATGATAAGACGATATTCCCAAAATAATAAGAATTATTTTCATAAATTAATTAATTAAATTAATAATATTTATGTAATATAATTAATGAAATATAAAATTTAAATTACAAGGAAGTACTAATAAAAAGTTGTGATGATTTTAAATAAGAACTTATTAATATTAATTTAGATTTAGATAAACAAGTCTTAAAAATACAAGAATAAAAGAATAATGAAGAAAGCTATTTAATATAAATAAATCGTATTGAAAAATAATTAAAGTAACAATAATCTAATGGAATTGTAAAATTAATACCTATAAAAATTTTAAACCTTTAAAAAACAGCCTCTATGCCAGGTATATTTAATTATGATTCAAGTCTTCTTATCACTTCAGATTATTTAAATAATATTTCTGTTTGGAATTTTGAAGATGGAAAACAAAATGAATTAACAACTTTTTCTGTTGGTAAAGCCATACGAAAGATTATTTGTAGTAAAAAGTGTAATAGTTTTATTACAGGCTTAAATGGTGGAGGAATATATATATGGAAGCAAATTAATAATAAAGAATGGAAAAGGTCTGAAAAATTTAAAAAGCATGAATTTTGGATAAATGATATGATTTTAAATAAAGCTGAAGATTAATTATTTTCAGGAGGTGAAGATCCATATATTAATATTTGGACTGTAGATTATTTAAACAATGAATTGAGCTTTCTTTATAATTTGGATTCAAAAACTATCAATATTTATTCATTTAGTTTTAATGACTCAGAAAATCTTTTGATATCTTGTAGTGTTATTGAAATTATTATCTGGGAAAAATTATAATCTAATAAATGGAAATATTTATGTAACTAAAAGATGGAACCGTATTTTTAAGCAAAATTTTTGAAAGATAATTGTTTTTGTATTTTGCCGATTAATTAAAAAATCAGTTCTATTTCAATATATGAAATATATACAGGAATTTTAAAGGAGATAGAAGATAAAAAGATTGAATTAATCAAAGATAATGATTGGGAAGAAAAAATGAATTTCCCAATTCTATACAATAAATTGAAAAATATTCTTATCATTAAATCAAAAAGATTTATTTATTTTATCAGATAATTGTCAAATGGAAGTTTTGAAATTGTAAACAAAATTATTGTTAAAAATGATGTCCTTCGGGGAATCTTGTCAGATGATGGATAATATTTAGTTTTTTTTGAGCCTTCAACAATGAGTTAAATCACTTATGAGTTATTATATGAATGAAATCAATTTAAGAATATTAATTCTATATTTTTCTTTATTAATATAAATACTATGGAGATAGTGAATTTTATTGTAAAGTTAAAAACCGTTTACAGTCAGTTTTGGTGAAAAATTCAAAGGAAGAGGAGCAACATAAGTATAAAATAATTATTTTTATTACGTATGACAAAGCAATATTCGATTTATTTTATTAAAATATCAATAAAATAAAGTTTGCAGATTAAAAAATGAAAACTTATTGAATAAGCAGATAGAATTTATAAACAGAATTAGGATAGAAAATCTATTTATAAAAAAATCAATTTGAATATGATTTGTATATCAAATCTATATGAAAAGAAAACAATTGAAAATTCTTAATAATCATTAAATTGTTGAAATGATTAAATTTATGGTACAATGACAATAATTTATTGTTACTATTCATATATATTATAATTATTAATATAATTTTTAAGATTAGATAAAAAAGGAATCACCTATATTCTTTTCTTTTTTTAAGAATTTTAGAAAAAAAATAAATTATTATTTAGAGAGTATATTGGCATAAAATAGAATAAAATTATAAAAAATAATAATATTTTTCCTTACACTAAAATAAATGTTATCCAATACATAAAAAATTATTTTTTGTTACTAACTTAATGATAATTTTAAATTTACTGAAATTTAAGATCTGTAAAAATCCTAATGTCTTAATTAATCTAAATTAAGATTTTTGCAATGCAATATATATTTGTAAGAAATTTTATATCCTTGATAAGATGAATTAGTGGTAAGTTTATTTTTATTTGATTAAGAAATTTTTATCAATATTTCATGTTGAAAACACCAAAATTGAACATAATAAAGCAAAGATTATACAGTATTTTGAAAAATTATAAGCCTTTAGTGTAAAGTTCTAAGAAAAATTTTCAGATAAATAAATCTCCATCTAGGGGAGTTTATTCTATATAAATTTTAAGATAAGATTTACTAATCCTATTTAATTTAATTAAATAAATTCTGTAAAATAAAGAAGATATTATCAAGATGATTTCATAATGCATCAACTTTTAGATTTTTGTATAATTCAATAAAAATAATAGAAAACGAATACTAATTTACAAAAAACATTGCTAACACATTAATCTTCAACACAATTTAAAATCTTTAGAATAAAAATGGGGAGATTAAAGTAAATCTCTAAAAAAAAATACAGAATATGATGGATGATCAACTTATTATAAAATTAGAATAATTTTGAAACTCTTAATTAGTTAAATTAAAAGAATTTAAATGCTTTCTTCATTTCCAGTGCTACATAATAAGAATAAAGAATGTTCAAACCAAAACAAAATTTCAGATTCAAATAGATATTAAATAAAAGGAATTTAATGGAGAATTCATAAAAAATAATAGGTGACTAGAAGAAAAAATTTAAGAAAGTTACTATATCAAAATTTAGAAAAGTTTTTCTTAAATTTTTAAGTAGTAAATTAATCTAAAATCTATTAATTAAGAACATTGAAATTCATTATCTATTTATCTTTAATAATTTTAATATAATATCCTAAATTTATTATACTTTAAGTAAATTCAATTTTTAATTTTTTTTACCTAAAAAATCATTTGGATCTGGTTTGTTTTAAAAAACCATTTTTACAGATAATGCTTATCTTTCCTATAAAATAGATTTATAAATTTTTCAAAGAATATCTTAATTGTCTAATGCCATATTAAGAATCTTATTTTATTTATTATTCATTTTTATTCTTGACTTAAAAGATGATGGGTAACCTATCTATTATCCCAAATTAAAATTTTAATCTTAGTAATCTTGAAATCTCTTATAATTTACACCTTAAACAAAAATAGGAATTTCAATTTTATATTTGCATATTCCAATAAAAAATCAAACGGTTTGTCTTGTTAGTAGGAATTTGAAAACATTATTTGATTATTTTAATTAATGGTTCAAAAAATTGTTATTTGTATATTTAATACTTTCAAGAATATATTATTATTTATTTGCTGTAATCATATCTACTACTTCAACTTATGAAACAAATTAATGCATATAAAGTCAATATAAAAGACAATAATAAAAACAAACTAACACTTAATTGTAAAAAAATGAAAACATAAAGTTAATTTTTTGATCTATTAAAACTTTAATTTGATGGAGATGTCTTAATATTTACTATTCTTAATGTAGCTCTTCTTCACAATTATACAATTATGAAAATATATTTAATCATAACAAAAATTATTATTGGTATCTAATAGAAAAATACACTTTATTATGTTTTAATACGATTTGAAGATGGAGTAAATGAAATCAATATTTTAAGAAAATTACTATAATTCTTATTATCTATTTTATATTTTATATATAATTCTAATTAAATAAATAATTATTATTATTAATTAATTAATAGAAATTCAATTAATTAAGATGTTATTTTAGCTTAATGAATCTGAAGAGATTTATTCTTTTGAAAATGAAGAGGAAATTTAAAAAGCCATAAAATTTGATAAAATAGGAGAAGTGATTTTAGATTATAAGTATAAATCAATCACTTATTAAATAAATCGGATAAAATGTATTAGATTATCAGATTTTATATTTTGGATAGTAATATATATAATTCATTATATTTTAGTAATCAGATTTTATTCGAATTCATTTAGGGTAATTATTGTGTTTGATCTTCGACTTAATAAATAAAGTATAAATTATGGAATCTCAAGGTATTGAACATTATTATCTTGATTTAAACAGAATTTGGCTAAAATTATAAGAAAACAGTTATCCTAGTATAATTTATTAATTCTTGTATTATCATATACATTTCACAGGATATTAATCTCCTTTTTATGAAAAAAAAGATAGTTCACTTCCAATTAAAGCATCAATCAAAATCAAAGAAATTATTTAAATTATTATTTATCGTTGTTTCAATCGAATTCATTTGAAATGGACAGATCCTCGGAAAAGGGAGGAATTATATAATGCGATTATAAAACCAATTATGGATTTATGTAAATAAAATTCATCATCAATATTTTAAATAAATATCTAAATTTAAGAAACATTAAACTAGTATAAATATTAAGATGATAAAAAAAATAATATTGTCTAATCATTATAAATTGATGATAATGTTGCTGATTTTATTGGATCTTAGAGAGAAAAAGCTATTTCAAAAGTTAAAAAAGATTTAAATGATCTAATTGAATTTGGAAGTTAATATAGATAAATTGGTATAGATTTTTTATTACAATAACAAATTCCAATAATAAGTAAACATTTAGAATCATACTCCAAAGTTAAATTAGAATATTTTATACAAGCTTAATAATAAGGGAATAATTTATAAAAAAGAGAAATTAAAATAAAATAAATTCTTTAATAAAAAGTTTAAATATTGATACCAGAATCTTTAAAAAAATATGATGAATATTTTAAATTTGAAATAACAAAATAAGAAATTGGTACACTTGAATAAGAGATTATCACTTCAGTCCTAAAATCTTAATAAGTTCAATATTTTAATAATACTTATTGGTTACATTCCAATAATTAACATATTGATGATTTTATTTTTGCAGCTATTCCTAAAATTATAAATCAATATGTTGATGATAAAATTGAAGAAATGATTACCTATAAAAATTTAAGATTGATTGATGAATTTTTCTGAATTTTTAATATTTTTTTGTTATTATAATTAAGCCTTTATAATATAAATTAAGGTTATATATATGTTTGTACAAAAATAGGGTTGGTTCGGAACCTACCTTCGTAGTAGGTAGAGGAGTCAGGATATGGAGTTGGCCTAATACTAGCTCTAAAACTACCCTAACTACCCCACGTTAGTAATATGGTCGGGGCCGCATACAAAAGCTGAAATTTGACGAGTTGCACTGCGGTATCCCCCATAGAGGATGGGGGTTTTATTCAGCTATTATATATAAAATTACAATAAGAAAAAATTTATTTTAACCCTCTATTAAATTGAAAAAAAAATTTTATTTTTTTATCAAATCAAACGATCGAAATTTCAGTATACTAAAAGTAAGATTTCAAACTCTAACTTGATAGATTATAAAACTATCATTATATGAGGTATGATTATGTGTTAAGAAAACTAAAATAAAAATTTTAATCTAAAAACCTTCTAATATTCAAAAAAATTAAAATCCCATTCTTACCTTTGCTACTATTTATTCAAATAAATAAATTTTAAATCATATACATTGAATATAATTCAAAATGAATTTCATTTATATAGAATACATTAAATATTATTTAAAAATACGCTTTAACCTTATCTCAATAACAATCGATATACACATCAATTAGTCAATCAACAATAACAGAATATTAAGATTGTTATTTTAAAATTGGCTAATTTAAACTATAAAATACTGGCAATTCTTTTTCAAAGCTTATCTATGAAAATTTTAGAAATACTTATGAAAACCTTAATGATTATATGCATGGAATGGTTAGAACCAAATACTTCTATTTATATATTAATTTGGAACAAGTAATAAGACACATCACTTTAATTATGGTATTGATGATTGTGAGTGTTCATGTTGATATTTTTATTCATAATCATAATTTGCTAAATAAATTTTTTCAACTTACTCAATACTTCATTTATGGTGGAACTTATAATTTATTCTTATTTTTAGTCATATTAGTGGTTGACTTAAGTTATAGGCTTAGTTAATGGTCTCAGTATGACCAATCATTTATTCTCACACTTGTTTAGAAAATAGAGGGATTATAATTGGTTGTAATTAGGAGATAATTTAAAAATCATAAGCTACAACTGAGATATCATATTACAATTATTATCATCCAGTCTCTTACACAATGTCAAATCTTTATTAATTAATCTCTATGAATTGGGCAGGATTCTCTTTTCTATCATAAAGATATTTCCACTAGATTACAGGTAGTGAAATGAAAAATATCAGCATAGATCATAAATTTAGAATGTTTATTGATTTATATTATATTTGAGCTTATTTTAATTGATTCCAGCAAAAAGATTTTTTAAACATGATAAAGTACTATTGTCTATCGATTAATAGGCAATTGAAGTTTAATTAACAATTGATTTATCAACTTTAAACTAATTAAAATATAAATTTATCAGAATATACATAGATTAAGAATCAAGGCTTGATTGGTTTTTGTAATGCCTTAAATGCAACCAAGCCAAATTAGCTTAATAATCAAATAAAATCCACCACAAACTCATCAACTCTAAAAATAAGGTGTATACATTTGCAAAAATATCAAATGGTTTTTATGCTATTGATTTAGATTTCATTAATTTGATTATAAGAATAATTAGAGAATACATTAATGCGATTAAAAAAGTAACAAATTTGTTAGGAGGGATTATTAATTTTATGTAAATTCTTAAGCCTCAAATAAAGATTCTTAACAAATATAACAGGTTGAATTGGCTCAAAATTTATAAAGCAGGCCATTTACAAGAATTAATTTCTGTGATTTATGCCTTTAAGCCTTGTTGTTACAAATTAAGATCAATTTACCTAGAAAAAAGTAGATATTTTTAATGAAGAGTTTCAGATAAAATCTTATTGACTAATAAATCTTAATAAAATCCAGTTAAAAATGATATCAAATNATTTAAAAATACGCTTTAACCTTATCTCAATAACAATCGATATACACATCAATTAGTCAATCAACAATAACAGAATATTAAGATTGTTATTTTAAAATTGGCTAATTTAAACTATAAAATACTGGCAATTCTTTTTCAAAGCTTATCTATGAAAATTTTAGAAATACTTATGAAAACCTTAATGATTATATGCATGGAATGGTTAGAACCAAATACTTCTATTTATATATTAATTTGGAACAAGTAATAAGACACATCACTTTAATTATGGTATTGATGATTGTGAGTGTTCATGTTGATATTTTTATTCATAATCATAATTTGCTAAATAAATTTTTTCAACTTACTCAATACTTCATTTATGGTGGAACTTATAATTTATTCTTATTTTTAGTCATATTAGTGGTTGACTTAAGTTATAGGCTTAGTTAATGGTCTCAGTATGACCAATCATTTATTCTCACACTTGTTTAGAAAATAGAGGGATTATAATTGGTTGTAATTAGGAGATAATTTAAAAATCATAAGCTACAACTGAGATATCATATTACAATTATTATCATCCAGTCTCTTACACAATGTCAAATCTTTATTAATTAATCTCTATGAATTGGGCAGGATTCTCTTTTCTATCATAAAGATATTTCCACTAGATTACAGGTAGTGAAATGAAAAATATCAGCATAGATCATAAATTTAGAATGTTTATTGATTTATATTATATTTGAGCTTATTTTAATTGATTCCAGCAAAAAGATTTTTTAAACATGATAAAGTACTATTGTCTATCGATTAATAGGCAATTGAAGTTTAATTAACAATTGATTTATCAACTTTAAACTAATTAAAATATAAATTTATCAGAATATACATAGATTAAGAATCAAGGCTTGATTGGTTTTTGTAATGCCTTAAATGCAACCAAGCCAAATTAGCTTAATAATCAAATAAAATCCACCACAAACTCATCAACTCTAAAAATAAGGTGTATACATTTGCAAAAATATCAAATGGTTTTTATGCTATTGATTTAGATTTCATTAATTTGATTATAAGAATAATTAGAGAATACATTAATGCGATTAAAAAAGTAACAAATTTGTTAGGAGGGATTATTAATTTTATGTAAATTCTTAAGCCTCAAATAAAGATTCTTAACAAATATAACAGGTTGAATTGGCTCAAAATTTATAAAGCAGGCCATTTACAAGAATTAATTTCTGTGATTTATGCCTTTAAGCCTTGTTGTTACAAATTAAGATCAATTTACCTAGAAAAAAGTAGATATTTTTAATGAAGAGTTTCAGATAAAATCTTATTGACTAATAAATCTTAATAAAATCCAGTTAAAAATGATATCAAATATTAATTATATAATTTAAAAGAGAGTCGTTTATATTTATAAATTTTCATTCACAAGTTTTCTATGTCTTTCGCTATCTATGAATTTTTTAAATTTTTAATAATAAGGATAGCCTCTTTCCTAAAGATCAAGATAGAATTATTCTTTCTATAGTTTGTTTTGAAAATAAACTCTTGATCTGTTAATAAAAATTAGATGGACATCCTGATTGCAAACCATCTTGTTATTAACAAAGAAGAATATTTTCCTATTTCTAGTTATGGAGATAAAATTATATAATTTTGGAATAAGGATGAATTATGGAACGATGTTAAAAATAAGTGCTCATTTAACCACAATTAAAAGCATAAGTTTTAATGATATTGATGATTTCATGTTCATGCGATAATACTTCAAATAATTTTATTATAATCAGAAATAAAGTACATTTTAAAAATTCATTTAT